TTAATTAGTTCATACATTTGATGTTTGCAACCTTTTCACCCTTGTAGTAACCACACGTTGTTACAAATTGTAAAAACACATTCAAAGTATGTTTCAAGGTTAGAATAGCACTGCCAAACTATTTGTGTACTAACAGGATGGGTCTTTAAGATAAAGCAATTGATTTGGACGTAAATTTTGTTACATCTAAAAGTTAATAAAATATTCAACGATAATTATATTATTTTATTTTGGAATTTGCGCAGTATACTTAGTTGGCCCGATGATTTTTTTTTCATTCTATCGGTTGTCTCGCACAATTAAGACTTGCATATGTTTCATTATATAAAGGAGGCTTTCCTTGGCGTTGTAAAGATGAAAGAAGACGACATTTACATCAATATGAGGCTTTATAATTTCTAAATGTACGAGTATTCAAAAATTCATCCTGTACACTGTTCTACATATCAGCACTACAAATTTAGTTTCTGGCAAACTGTGGCGGTTAATGGATCTTTCCTGCACTTTCACATCAGTATCTTCAATCAGTTTTGTAAACACCATATCAAAATTGTAGTATTTGTATAGTGGCACTTTAATGAGGTGTAAGTGCACAATAAACATGTAAATAACCATAACATAACCCAAAATAAATTTTACAACAGCGTATCCTTCTCATTCTCCCGATAGTTCCCAGATCCCTAGTGAATTATTAAAGACTAAAACAACAGCACAGGATTCTATTAATTACATAAACAATTACTTCGTTAATGTTGGTTCTAAATTATCAAATGAAATACTACAAAAACTAAAACTTAGTGAACCGGAACTTGCAAATGAATTTAAATTTAAAAATACACCAGTGAACTCATTTTTGATGCTAGAAACCGATGAATTAGAAATATATCGAATTGTAAAATCGTTAAAAAATACCAACTCTACAGGCTGGGATGGGATATCATCTGTTTTTATCAAAAAATACTTACATTTTCTCATCCAACCTTTAACTCATATAGTTAATTTGTGTTTGTCTTCTGGCATATTTCCAAACGTATTAAAGGAATCTATTGTTGTACCTGTGTATAAGTCTGGGGATAAGGATAATGTTACCAATTATCGTCCTATTTCACTTTTACCTACTACTGCAAAAATTTTGGAAAAGGTTATGAACAACAGGCTAGTGAACTATCTTGAAAGTAATAATATTATCTCTGATAATCAATATGGATTTAGGAAGAAAAAATCTGCTTTGGACGCTATTGAAAATTTAGTAACTAATGTGGCACAAAATCTTGACATAAAAAACAAATGCATAGGTATATTTCTTGATATGTCAAAAGCATTTGACACGGTGTCAATTCCATTGCTGATTCGTAAGTTGGAGTCAATTGGTATAAGAGGTTTGCCTCTTAATCTTTTCAAGGATTATCTGTCTAATAGGTCACAGACGGTAAGAATAGGGGATTACTTAAGCTCCAAACTAAAAATAGATTTCGGTGTTCCGCAAGGTTCGGTACTCGGCCCAACGTTATTCCTAATATACATGAATAATATGTGTGATATAAAAATCCCAAACTCAAAAGTGATCACATTTGCTGATGACACTGTTATTTTATTTCAACAGAAAACATGGTCCAAAGTTAAAGCATCAGCTGAGGCAGGCTTTCGTAGTGTAATAAAATGGCTTGAGCATGATTTGCTTACCCTTAACCTAAGTAAAACAAAATACTTAAGTTTCAGTATAAGAGAAAACTTGCAACCTACCTCTGATTTTATTTTAAAAGCGCATTCTCCTAGCTGTATTAGTGATGCAAATGAGTGTGACTGCGTTGAATTGTATAAAACTAGTAGTATTAAATACCTAGGAGTAGAAATTGATAAAAATTTAAATTGGAAACAACATATCAGTAACTTAAGATCTCGCCTTCGTAAGCTAATACCTGTATTCAAGAAAATCAGAAATTTGAGAGATGATAAAACCAATAGGGCAGTGTACTTAACATTGTGTCAATCTATTACTAACTATGGCATTTCAGTCTGGGGTGGAGCCAAAAAGAGTACTCTTATAAAGATAGAAAGGGCTCAAAGGTGCATTTTAAAGGTTATGGGTTTTAAGTGCTTCAGGTATCCAACTACTAAGTTGTATAATGAATGGAAATTTTTGACTGTGCGTCAGCTCTTTGTAAAAAGCATTTCTTTGAAACAACATGGCTGTAATAAAAATAATAAAGCATCTGCCAGGCGTTCGTACATGATATTTGACATCCCCGTTTGTAGGACTACATTTGCACATAGTTTTTCGTATTTCCTGGCCCCGCTAATATACAATCGCATATGTAAAACTAGGACTATAAATAATCTAACTAGATTTCAATGTGGAAAGGCTTTAGATGAGTATTTCAGTAGTATGGATTATGAACGGACTGAACAATTATTGCAAGTAAACTATTTTTTATTTAATATTTTATCTTCATTTTGAATAAAAAAGTATAAACATATATAAGTATATATAGTTATTGTTATTTGTTATATATTGTACAAACATAGCTATAGTATATTATGTGTTATATTGATTAAGGATATACTCTATATTTAAATATATATTTAATCTTATACATATAGTTGTATAGAAATATGTTTTAATACGATTTATTGTTATAAAAAATCATAACATCCATGCATTGTAATTGTCAAAATGTTGAATGCATTATATTATTTATATTATGTTATGTTTTTTAGTTTCCATTGGATCAACATAGTTTCATTGGAATAAACTCCTTTGTTTGTTTATTATTTGTAAAATGTAGTTAATTTTCTGCTTTTTTGCTTTATCTGATTGTTTTGCGTTTACTGCATGTTTAAGTAAAACCTGTTATTCCTTATCGTAAGTAATATTGTATTGCTAGAACTGTAGAATCATAGTAAAAATCCTTAAGTCAATTAAGTTAAAGTTAGTTTTTCTGGTGCGAGAATCTTGCCTTGCCGTAACACAGTGTTAACTAGCTCGGAAGGTAAAGAATGTTTGGCTCGTATACCTACCCACACATAAAATAATTTTCTATGAGTATTAACTAAGCAGCTTTTCTTTTAATTATTTACTGTTAATATTGAGCATAATCATGAAAAGTGCTTAATTCCATATAGTTAACATGTTATAACGTGAGTGTGTGTGTTGTGATTGGAAATTACATAATATGTAAGTGGTAGCTCAATATTGTAACTATTACTTATTATCAATTGGGAATTTAATCGCTGTGTGTTTTGAGTCTGGGGAAACACGGATAAAAAGATTTTTTATTTTGTTTTCTTTAGATTTAAACTTATGTTTTCTTAGAAAACTAGTACTAGTTATAAATAGCTTAAGAAGGTTTAGGTTTAGGTTTATTCTCTATACCAAATGAAAAGCTTACTGACTGAGTTAGCTAGATTGAAGTTGACAGAATCATGCCAGAATTGACATGTATGTGTCGAAACGCAAAGGTGATAAGTTCTTTTCTCTAGGGTTTTGTTTATTTTCAGAGAAGGAAGGGTTCCTTCGCATCGGCTCCCTTAACGTACGCGTCAAGAAAACCACCGAGGCGTTCAGTAATTTCCTGGGGGTGGGGGCGACCAGGTCCTCCGCTTACATACCCAAGTCTGCGAGGGACAGGGAAGAGAGACGGTCCGATGATGGGGAACTACACAAAAGTTGGGGGTCCGCTGATAATATCCAGGTGGGCAATGGTCACAGGAGTACATCGAAATATATGAATGTTTCTTTAGATAAAATAAATAAATATTTATAATTTTTATTATTTTTAAAGCATGTAACTGCTTGATGTTTAAATCTAAAGAAAATATAACTAGAAAAAATTCCACGCGGACCAGGCAGCAGACGGGACTCGAAATAAATATTTATAACACTCACACCGATTACCCTAGCACCAAATTAAGCATTAAGCGCAAGTTAAATGTATGTACACTATTTAAACGCAACCAGTACTTTTTCTGTAACACTGCCCGTAGTGCAATAAATAATATATTTATTCATTAAGTTTTGGTGTAACCTTTACCAGTCGTTTACTCACAAAAATGGAACAATGTGATTTGCTATGCCTAGTACTTGGTAAGTGATTTTGTTCATGTGTAATTACATGATTCTACGGAAATAAAATTTAATTAGTAAGATAAAGAAAGGAACCTGCTCACCCATTAATCAAATCATTTAATGCAATAATGTATGTGTGACAATGTTAAATTATATATCACATAATCCCAACTCTGCGACACAGCTTGACTCTTGTGTGCAACAAGCCTTTATTAAATATCAAGATCAATATGCTCCAAACAAACTAGCTTTTAAACGCTCCGTACGCCATTATTAATTAGATTCCTCCTCTGCATTCTCCTGATATGAAATAGATTTGTATGTACACAGTGAGGTCATAAGTATTGTCACACAGTAAAAACTTTTTCATCCCACCACCTCGGAAAGTGTAATTTTGCGCTTCGAAATCTGGCTGGAAAATTCTATTTTATTCGCTTGAGCGGCAAAGTAGATTTGAATTTAGAACATCACATATAATGAGTACTCAATATAATTGTAAATTCAAAACGTCATTAAACCTATTTAATGTAACCTCTATGGTGCCAAATTTATGATTAGAACTTTTTAAATTGTGAAAAAATTTAAATTTGGAACCTTCTTGGTTTCTTTGTTTTATTTGCGTGCTTCGCGCCATTCTAGTTTTTCACGTTTTATTGCTTAAATATTTTGTCATTATAAATTGTTTTCTTTTTCATTTTGTCATTTCCTCGCTGAGGTGGGATGAAAAGTTACGTATTGCACTCGAGTGGAAAGATTTTTCACCTTGTGCTCGTTTGTTTCCCTCGCTGACGCTCAGGATTCTAATTTAGAATCACTCGCTGCGCTCGTGATTCAACTTTAGAATCCTTCGCTTGCTCGGTCATCCAAATCGAGCACGCGGTTAAAAAGGAACTTTCCACTCTTGTATAATAAATAACTATTCTTTTAGGGCCACAAAAAAGTTTATTGAATTCGAATTTCGAATTGTTAATGAAAATAAAAATGTATACTTTTTAGAATTTTACTCATTTTTAAATATGGAGTGGACGCTTAAAGAGGACCGTGTTGCAGTTGCGGTTACGCGCCAATTCAAATTTTTGACATACTGAAAATTTTAAATATAACCAAAAGATTCGTTTATCGTACCATCAAACGGTACAATGAAGATGACAGGTCAAGAAGTGGTCGCCCTCGGTCTGTTAGGACTCCAGCAGTGATAAAAGCTGTGAAGGCGAAAATTCAAAGAAATCCCAAACGTAAGCAGAAACTGTTGGCCCTTCAGATGGGGTTAAGCAGAACCACGGTGAAAGGGGTGTTAAATTGAAGACTAAGGGCTTCGGGCATATCGAAGAAAAACTGGACATCGTTTGAATGCTCGTCTAATGGACCTGAGACTGAAGAGATGCCGCGCTTTGTTGAAGCGGTACGCGGGAAAAAATACTGGGAAATTCTTTTTTCGGATGAAAAAATTTTTACCGAAGAAGAGAGCTACAACAAACAAAATGATAAGGTGTACGCCCACAGTAGTGAAGAAGCGAGCAACCGTATTCCGCTTGTCCAACGAGGTCATTTTCCATCCTCGCTCTTGGTACGGTTAGGAGTTTCTTATTGGGGCTTAACAGAAGTACATTTTTGTAAGAAAGGTGTAAAAACGAATGCAGTTGTGTATCAAAATACAGTCCTGACGAACCTTATGGAACCTGTTTTTCATACCATGTTCAATAACAGGCACTGGGTATTCCAACAAGATTCGGCGCCAGCTCATAGAGCGAAGAGCACACAAGACTGGCTTTCGGCGCGTGAAATCGACTAAATCCGGCACGAAGACTGGCCCTCCTCTAGTCCAGATTTGAGTCCTTTAGATTACAAGATATGGCAACACTTGGAAGAAAAGGCGTGCTGAAAGCCTCATCCCAATTTGGAGTCACTCAAGACATCCTTGATTAAGGCAGCCGCCGATATTGACATGAACCTCGTTCGTGCTGCGATAGACGACTGGCCGCGCAGATTGAAGGACTGTATTCAAAATCACGGAGGTCATTTTGAATAAACTTGTTTCAATTATTTTATATTAAACATGTGACAGAATTTATGACCTGACTAGGATTGGTTGAGTTCACCATCTCGACATTTTGTCGGTTTTAATAAATACCCCGTCCTGTAACCCACAAGAAAAGAGGTATCTATGTCCCCAATATGTCTTCTATTATCTATTATTATGTAGTTTAGTTGATGTTTTATATATATATTAAACCGTAACATATATATGATTAATTATGAGAAGCACCTAACTAGTGTGCATCTGTAGTATATCGTGTGCGAGTTGCTACTCTTCTCCTTCTTCGCCCTCTTTTCTTATCCGTTGTGTGTTTGACGGCTGATGTTTCCGGTGTATGAGATGTGTTGGGCGTGATTGATAGATGTGTTGTGTTTGGTGATTGTGTTTGTTGCGTGATTTGTATGTGTTGGTCTCGTGTGTTAGCTTGTTTCTGTATTTGGACTAGTAATTCTTGTGATATGACATTTTGTTTAATTATCCTGCGAGTTTCATTTGACAAAGTGTTTCCATTAAACTTATTAATTTTAGTATTATTAGGGTTCCTCTCTGTAAAAAGTGCTTGTAATCTACCTATGTAAACTGGTCCTTCTGATCGTGCTTTAAAATAACAAAACATTAATTCTTTCAGTTCTTCTGTTGACCACTTTCTTCGTCTATCGTCACTTAATGTATTATTTGTGGTCGTTGTAGATGAGCCGACAGAGTCTGTGGGCTTAGCCCTACTCTGCAAAGCATCATCTACCCCCTCGTTGATCGACTGTGACATTTTCGAGTTCCCCGACTCTCGCCCGCCTGTTCAGCAAAGAGTCACTGGTGGTTCGTATGCTGTCACGTCCAGCAGCTCCAGACGTGCTCCGGCGATCGCCCCCGGGCAGCGGTCCTATACGTATTCTATTATTAAAATTCTCCATGTTGATGGGGTTTGCCAATGCCCTTTTGGTCACCTGTATAGTAAATTCGTTTCTGGTGACCGCCTCTCACGTGGTTCAGATGTTACACCGGACGTGGGGTTGGCCTTCTGAGAGGCAAATATTATGTAAATGTTTATTATTATTTATGTATTTATATAAATATGTATTTTAGGTAGTATATATATTATCTTCTTTCTATGGTTATACTTTAAATATAATTAACATTTTGATGAATTATTTTTTCAGTTCCACATTCGAAATTTTAATATAAGCTTCCGTTAACTTATAGGAATCTAAAGGTGTGATATCGTGGTGAAGGAGGATATTGCTTCGAGAACGCTTGTCGCGAACTCTCTCGTCCTTTGATATTCAAGTGTCCTTCTAGTGCCTCTCTGAACAGCGGTGGCTGACAGTCAGCTGTACATAAGTCTCTTTGTCTTTAGCTAGATAGAACAATTCCGCGGTGCTTAAGATTCCAGTCCATTCACGTAGGTTCACAACCAAGACTTCTGCCCGTCATCATAAGTTGTAGGAGAACGTATCTTTCGTGTCTCGTCAAGTGTCCTAGCTACGCAAACTTCCTCACTGTGACGGTACCCCAAAGTTCGCGTTTCTTACCAACAAGTTGCAGGATTTCATCATTTGGAACTATTTGAGTCCAACTAACTTTTAACATTCGTCTGTATGCCTACATTTCGAATTCTATTCGTTTTCTGAGTTCCATTTTAATAGTCCAAAACTCGCATCCGTATAGAAGTATTGGCCTACATTGTTATGTTTTGTACATTGTAATGTGTCTAACCGTAGTCTATACTAACTACTAACCGTAGTAGATACTAAAACAACAACCATTTTTCTACTCGGCTATTTTTTTATGCATTGGCTTTTTATTTTGGATTCAAAGCAGCGCACCTAGGTTTCGTCACTTGTTACGATATTATGGACAGAAAATCACAGTAAGTAAATTTTTTAACGTGCATCTTCACCAATGGGCACGCTGTCGTTTCTGGTCCCTCGTTAAGACATATTGTAACCATCGAGTGTAAACCTTCCGAACCTTTGTGTAAATAAAGGTAACATGTAATTAGTTTTGCACTTGGCTCATTCCAATGTCTAACAAAGCATGAATTTGCTGACAAGTATTTTTTTTGTCAGTTTCAGTAACTTGCCGTATGGTGTCAATATTACATTCTATAAGTGCAGTCGCAGGCCGGTCTTTACGTACCTCGTCATGGAGATGATCACGTCAACGTCTAAATTCTCCGAACCACGAATATACGACTCGGACGTGGTGCTTAATCATCAAATGCCGATTAAATTCTCTGGCAACTGTGTTGTTGACTTAAGCCACAGCGAAAATCATAGCAAATCTTCAAGAAAAGTTCCGCTTTAAAGCAGCCCCTCTCATAATATTTTCTCTTTTGGAATATATTAAATAACCTTTTCCTGACAGGTATTTTATGCATACGACCATAAACTTGTTCGTGTGATATATAGAAGCATGAAGTGCCTATAAACTTTTCCATGATTACGAGAATCAGTCGTTTGAATTGGTGTGGGCTTTTTATCAATTTTTTTTCTCCTACATAATTTTGAAAATCTCTTACAGCAATTATACACATACAAATCACTTTTTTGGAACATAACACAAATCACCTATATCTCTTAAAAAAAGTGAAACCACAGCTCAATGGTCGCTGTTAAAAGGCATCATAGCATATATTCATAATTTTATTTTTGCTTTTAAACTACATAGCCGGCGATATAACTTATGATGTGGTTTGATAAAACATGGTTCGGAAAGATATCAAGCACGCAACTGAAGAAATCTTCAGCTCCTTCATCCTCTTCGAACCTTTGAGAAGATGTAGTGCTGCATGACATTCGATAAATATAATTTCTTCTAAGGGAGTGCAATTTCCCGATTCACCAGCTTAAAATTTCCATGTGGCACAACAATTTTCTATATATGCCCTTAAATTGACGAGCGTCCGAATTGTCATTACTAAAGAAGTTCGATATGGTCTTGTTGTCTGATTCGATAAGTTGTAATGTTAATCAATTATTTTATAATAGTTTGAGTATACATATGTTTCAAAATTGTGCTTTAGACTTTCAATGCATATAAGTAGACCCAAAATTCAAAAACCTTTATTGGCCTTCCTTTTCAGAGCGATTATATTGCAAATTTTAATTAAATACGTGGTTCGTTTTTTTAACGGCTAGTTTTAAATTTTGAAACTTCGTCTTTAGTTTCCAAGGAAATCGGACGATTAAAATCGTTGGGTCAGTCTTCTCGTATTCAAAATATCAAAGATATTATTGAAGAATATAACAAAATCTTCAGTAACAGCGCTATTCTGAAACATGGTTATTTTAAGCTCTTCTCGAAAGAATCTTAAGGCTAGAGCGACACTCCTGCTTAAAAGTAGTACAGGCTAACTAACTCATGATAGAATTTTGGAAATTTAAAAATGTGTTCGCGTTAGTTTATGTGCTATGTTAACTCTGTGCTCTCTTGTTAATAATTAAGCTTCACTGTTTAGTCCCAGTCAATTTCATTATCATTTTTAAATTAAATTAGAAATGTTTTTTTTTGTTTGTCTTGGTTGAGCACCAACTTTACCATTGTTATGGCTCGAGAAACAGCTACATTGTGTTCTACATATGGATGTTTGAGTTATTGTTTAACTTACGTGGATATTTGATTTGGAAACCTAAAATTTCCATATCCGATATATTGTTGGAAGTCCATCAAAAATTTACTTCAGTATCCTGGCATTTTTGTAAACAAATATTTATTGAATTGATTTATTTAATTGTATACCGATCAGACCATGAGTTAGAAAATATCCCATTTTTAATTTATTCGTTTAGTTGCACAAATAATTTATTTATATGCCTAGAAGCCTTAACACTACCCAAAGGGTAAAAAACGAAACTATTGCTGCCACTCTGTCGTTTGTCTGTCGGTCTGTCCGTATGTCACGGGTATCTAGATCGTAAACTGAATGAGTTGATTCATGGAACTGAAGTTTTGTTTATCATTGTATAGAGCTTGTTGAGTAAGATATATTATATCTTTTTTATTTGGTTGTCGTCAAAGTTGTCATTTTAAGACCTTTTTTGTTACGCGGTCTGTCTCAAAATCGAAACTATTAAAATTGTGAAATTTTGGGGTTTGTTCTACAGAACCCTTCAAGCGCGAGTTCGTCTCGCACTTGGCCGATTTTTTACAATACAGACCCTAAAACTGAATGTCGGTAATAATTATTTATGCTAGGCGGAAACAGGTGTACGTACTTAAAAACAAAGACGTGGTTGTAAATAAGGTAACTACTACATAATTATTTGTATACTAGGAATAAACAGGAATGATATCTATCTATTATGAGAATTCAACTCAAAATATTTTATATGCAATAAACCAAAGAAACAATAATTATGCGTCAGAAATATTGCATTTAGTGATGTGCTTTTTAAAGCTTATTAACGACTAATTAAAGTCTATATCTGCATATATATCTTATATTCTTCCGCATATAGTAATAAGTCGTAAAATTTTATGTATTTTTGTTGTATGAAACTGGAAGGCAAATACTAATAACTTGCATTTTATTTGTGAAACAGAAGGAAGATAAACTCATGCCGCCACCTATGAGTAATAAAGTGAGACGCCGTGGCGCCAGCGGACGCAAAGGTCTAAGTTCACACAGTCGGAGCACTCCATCTACACCGGATCAGGTAATACATTCGATATAGAGTACGATTTAACTTAATGGCGCCTGTTAAGTTAGCGTAAGCCGCGGCACAGTAAACGAAATCCACTGAATGATGCCACTGAACTGAAATCTGTGCATAGTTCCGATCGCTGCTAACTTCACGATGGTCACAAAGTTTGTATTAGCTGTGAAGCTAGCATAAGTCACGGCTCAGTAAACGAATTTTAGGCTGATGTATAGTGCAACAAGGATAATAATAAAATGTGAGTGGCAGTTCAGGCAGGACGCCAGAAAACTATGACTATAAAATGAAAAAAATAAAAAAAACTGATTGAGTTTAGGAATGCCGTGTCCTACTGTTTAAGCGTAAAATTATCCATGTCCTACTGTTAAGGTTAATTAATATGTATTCGTTGCGGAAGTGAACTTTAGTACCTATCGGTTTGTTTTTCGATTTTTCTATTGCCAAAAGCAAAAAGCTAGATAATTTTACATCTTATAGCGTCTACAAACAAGAGCTCTCCAATTCACCAGAAAAATCATGTAACCTGACCACGCACATTGTGACATGTTGTTATTTTCCGATATCCTATTAGATACAATTTTACGTCACATTATGACTTCTTCCACTTTTTGATCCGTATCACTTGATGTCTAAACATAAAGAGTCACCGATCACCCTCACAAGGGGCAACATCAAATAATTCGCTCAGACGACTTAAACTATTTCCGGTGGATAATAAGCAATTAACACGTAGGCGATATTGATTTTCCTAATATTCCAAATCAGAACGGAAACAGTGCATATAATAAATGTAACATGCCTAATACCTAAAATAAATACAACATAATTTCAGCGTGTCTTTGTCCGAAATGGGCTATTTCACTTGTCTTTGACAAAGCAAGCGATTTGCGTAAGCGATCCCTTTTCGTGGAAAATGCTGTCATTGTTCACAAGACAAGACAAGACAACATTTATTGCTAAAGGTAATAAAACAGAGAGTAAGGTAGAAATTTTGTGTATATGGGTGAAACCTATGTCAATTTTGCACACACCACTTACAAATGCTGGCAGTCGGAGAAACATAAACAGCGAGGACATTTGAAAGATATTGGAGTTGGTGGACTACGATTTATTTTAGTTCATGGTGAAGGAGCCCAGGGCTGCGTCATTGGTGGTCTTCTGATTTTCAAATCTAAAAGTCAATCGGGAGACTACTATGATAATATAAACCACGAAAACTTTACAAAATGGACAAAACCAGCAGAAACACAATTTGGAATAACACGAAAATTTGATGATCTTGAGATATTTCGCAAAGTAAACAAGAACTTAAACCATCTTCTGTTTGCTGATGATCAAAAGATATTCATGGAAGTACGTGATATTTGTGATTTTCTAAAGTTGTTAGTCGATCTAAACGATCTATTCATCACCAGCCTATTAATGTCGCCACTACTGGGGCACAGGCCTTCCCTATGAATAGGTTAGGGAGATTGGGCCATGACCCACCACGCGGGCCCAGTGCGGGTTGGTGGATGCTAACGACTGCAGATGCAGCCGGGACCAACGGCTTAACGTGCCTTCCGAAGCACGGAGGAGTTCGAGATAGTAAATTTTTGGTCACCCATCCAATGACCGACTACTGCGAAAGTTGCTCAACTTCAACGACCGCAGCCGAACGCGCTAACCACTGGCGCTATCGAGCTCCTGAATGATCTATTGAATAAAAAGAAAACTTCATTATTAATTATGAAAAAACAAAATTTTCCGTACAACTTCAATAGTGAACGATTATGAGATTCGATGTGGTCCGTGATCCTGGAGTGTACTTTAACAGCAAAATGCTAACGTGTACATATATAGACATCATAGTGGGGAGGGCCTATCTCAACCTTGGTTTTGTTATGCGTACCTGTCGTGCTTTCAGTAGTCCCTTAAGTCTAATAATTGTCTACTATGCACACTGTAATGGTATTTGTCTCCTTCCACTGCTCCCACTAGCTTACCTCAGACAACAATGAAAACAAAGAAAGAAAACAAAAAAACAGGGGTAATATAATATATTGTACTGACCTCTCCGGGACTAAATAATTAAGATATTATAAAATGGAGTTGTATTAATTCTAAGCATTCACAAAAGCTGATAAAGAGTATACAATGGTTCTTAGGCTCTATCAAAGATATTTTACTTACTCTCTTGTTAACAAGTAACTAAGATATTATAAAAATGGATATATTTTACAAATTCTAAGCGTTCACAAAAACTTATATGTAGGTAAAAATATAGGAGTTCTAAGGTTATATTTGATTAAGATTCACACTGGAAATTAAGAGACTACAAAAATAGACTTTTCTTAATTCTAGATATTTACAAAAACTTATAAGCAATTCTTAGGCTCGTTTGATCCATATTGGTGATGCTGAATTATTATATGCTGCTGAATATTCATTCAATATGTTAATTGTTGTTTTCAATTTACAAGACAACCAGTTATATGTAGAAATGGGCGTAGTCCAACCTCGTGGTGCTTGTTCGTAACCCTGTTCACCCAGGGTTAGTTAGGGAAATACCTTGAGTACTTTAGGCTAAGGAATTTGTCCACTGTCACGGCAGGTTTAGATTAACCCATTTAAGGCCAAATGAAAATGAGCAATTGTAAAAAAGAAAATCTTTTATTTATTTAATATTAGGAATACAAACAAACATATAAAGAAGAAAAAAATAATTTAAATGACATTTTTCAGGAATTACAGGCGTGTCCCCAAATTGGCACAGTGGCCACTTATGAACGAAAGTTGGTAAAACAAGTTTTTCTATGCAGAGTGTTTTCTTGTACTTTTTACAATCCTAGCGGCTTCTATTATAGTAGATAATACTGCGCATCCGTTTTGAAAGCTTTTCACGAAGATGTTCGGCTTCATCTAGTTGTAAACCTTCGATGTTTGATGAAGAAGGGCGAGCAGTTACTGTTTGTGTAGCTTGCTTTAGGTAAAACCTTACGATTTCGTTTTGTTGAAATAGCAACTGGTCCATGGCGTTATTTTCTCTTGAAAGAACATGCAAGCTAAATTTTCTAATAAGCATGTCATTTTGTAATGAGCATGAAAGCTTTTGATCTTTGAACATTTTATCAGTGGTGTTCATAGCGTCATTATTGACCACCAGGTGCAGTTTTCTTTTTATTGTCTGAATCTGTTTAGAGACAGCCTTGAATACTACCTCAACTCCAATATCTTCATCAAGTGACCAATACAAACTTCTTCGCGGCAGTTTGTGGTAACCAGAAAATATCAATATTTCAAAAACCTTCAGCTCAGCAACAGTGATGGAAAAACTGTGACTGTTGTTTTGGCTCGCTTACAGCTGACTGATGGTGGACTTCCACAATCATAGTAAACACCACATCGTCAAAAAACTTTTCAAATATTTTAACGGTTGTCAAAGCTTCTTTCATACGATCGTCATTACCCAAACGGTGATCGGATTCTGCGTAACTCTTAGAATAATTTGGAGTACATCAGTCGGTAACAACACTTGACTCCAGTGGAATTATGGCCGAGTCATACTCCAAACCATCGTCACTATCCTCGAGTATAGTATTTAGGGCCTCCTCCAAACCACGTTATTGGTTAGTAGCGCTATAACATCGTTTGCGGTTCGTCTTGATAATCTGCGAAAAGTAATATACTCGTAGCCGTTGTTCCCAAATTGGTACACCAATCTTTTACATGTAATAATGACTTATGTTTATAGTTATCGGAACTGGAAATCGGTTTATATGCTTGGTTATTTATTGTTTATAGGGATATATAACTATTTATATGGAAATCTGTATTGCATATAATAATAAAAATTACAAGCAGGTACTTACCTCCACGAGTCCCTTGACATCGATTTTTTATTGAATTTTATCCAAAAACAATACACTTTTATGAAATAGATGAATATTATATTTATTCAGGATACTTTTGACTATTCATTAATATAAAAATACATTAACCAACTTCAATATATGTTTTACCTACCCTCATTAATTAAGTGTACCGTAATTGGCACAGTGGTCAAGAATGGGTTAACTGGAGCGCGGCTTGCAGCCTTTATTGTAATAATCTCACGCGTCCCTCCTGGTCCGTGTATAAAGAAAAAAACTCTTTAATGTAATGTTTTAGTTTTTGAGAAGAAGGTAGGACCCTGTAGTTTTATATGGAAAAAATATTGAAATTATTGATTATAATTTATTGGTGTGGGTGAGGGCCATTTACTGTAAAAGTGTACTGTCTTCGAATGACAATGACAGGGAGTTCTATATTATAGAGTGCAAAAAAAACATCTTTATTAATTTAACAACAATTATTACATTTAATGACTAAAATCACCATACTTTGCCTATGGAAATGTTTGCAAATCAATTAGGGCTCTGAGAATCAGAACAAGAATCAACCTGCAGGCATCTGAACCAATACATGGACCCAGTTAGCCGGTTCCAAATATGAATTTTATCCATCCACAAATCATTTTTGTTACTAAATGCCTCCTATCCAAAAGATACTGCCCTACATTGCCAGATTCCAGAACAATCTATAAACGATACGGAATACCAATAGGAAGGTTATTTTTCATGGCCAGAACTTGCAAAATAAGTAGGAAAGGAAGTTAAGACAATTTTACCTTTCGGGATGTTTTCACAATTTTTACACTACTGAGTAGTGTACAAATTGTTCTTGCGTTATGTGTGCCAATATCCACCAGGATATAAACTGATTCGGCTCTAATTACCAAATATAATCGCTGAGATTCGTCATTAACTCATAT